TAAAGCCTCTTTATAAGAAGCCATGTTATTTGTTCTTGAAAGTTACTGCTTCCTATTAGGATTAGGACCTTGAAGGATATTCTCTGTAGGAATATCCTTGAAGTAAAGACTTACTCTACAGAAACCTAAATATGCTCTCTACTGCAGACCCAACAGTGAGTTTGTTGCTGAAATAAACTCCCATACATCTCAAGAGTCTCAATCCTTGTATCCTAGAGAGGAGAGCCCCCAACAGTGGCAGACTTCGGGCTTTAAAATTTCAGCGGCATCCTGTGCAATACCAAAATTCAGCACACATACCCCACCTCTCTCCTTCTGTTGTTCATCACTGTTGCAATATCCCCTGCAGCGCCCTCTTGGTGCCCAGTGCAGGTGAGCCAGTAGGATCCCCCCCCCCAAGTCCACCTAGATAGCTCAGTTGGTTAGAGTAAGGTGTTGATAACCTTCACAAATTATTGGAGAGCCAGCAGAGGAAAACTGGGTTTCTCCATTTTGCCAGAAAAGCTGATCAAGAAGTGTATATTGAGTGCCACGTAAGAAAATAGTACATTTGTCCTTGATAACTGTGATAAGTTCATCTGCTTGGTAATAAAGTAAAATTATTATTATTACTGAATATGCTCACTAATTTGTGGGATCTGTGTTTAAATATTGGTTACTTAAGTAAGTCTTGAATTAGACTGAGCTCACTGCTGTACATTCTACTAGATTTCAGCAAGCACCACTTTTGTATTCACAAGCACTGATAAAAAATTTGAACAGAGGAATAACTTCTATAAGAACCATTTCTGTGGCCCAAGGCATAAAGGACAGAATGACTATAGAAAATAATAATTCTATGTTCCTCGGAGGTATAGCAAAATTCTGCTTGTGGATGTCATTGTCTTGGATGGAGTTGTTCTTGTTCATTATTGCATTGACTCTGGACTCATCAGAACCAGGAAGCAGTGACCATAAAGAATAACAACTTGCCATGGAATCAGTGGTAGCATGGTTTACCAGTGCCCAGGGCACACGCTGTGCTGGGAAGATGTGGTGTGGAGGGTGAATGGAGCTCACCGTACCAGCCCAGCCCTTGCTGCCGCTGCTGGAGCAACCCCCTACCAGAGTCAAGTGAGGCTGTGCTGCGCCTCCCGCCTGCCCATGCAGAGGGAAGCCCAGCTGGCTAACAGGGCACTTGGTGGATGACTCCCCCAACACCAGACAAAACTGCTTTTTTTGTATTCAAGATTGTTAGTAAATTTAGATATGACATTCATTTGTTAGAGGCAGACCAAGTCAGGCCCAGTGACTGTGGTGTCAGTGGTCCAAGTGAAACATAACTCTTATATAACCATATATTCTCTGTTCAACCGCAAATTTCTTTGGCTTGCACTAGATCCAAAGACAGCAGATACGGAGGAGACAAACAGACCAGCATCACTGTTTTTTCTCATTAACTCACTTTTCAGTGCAAACACAAAATAATCAAGGAGCACCTGATGTGCCATAGACTTTGGAGAGGCAGAGGAGCAGATTTGGAGCTAATAATGAATAGTGTATATGCATGCCAAGCTACTTAATGAGCTATGCTTTACTTCCAGATTAAGGTCACTAGTGTCACTAGCAACACATTTAGGTGTACCTACTACAGCACTAATAAATAATGATTCAGATTTTTTCTAAGGAAATTTTAAGCCAAGGAAATCTGATTGAAGTTTCATACAATATTTGCTTCACAGCCTTTGTAGTATATAGTCATTTGGCTCCCAAAGCAAATTTACCTGCTTTTGTGAAGAAAAATCAAAGTAATGCTCTTATTATATGCTCTGCTATGACCTTTGATGATTTGCCCTGCATAGCCCAGTTGGTAGAGTCATGAAACCAGATCCTGAGATGACTGTAGGAATCATCTTATTTTAATCTGTGGCTATCCATGGCCATAGAATACTTGGTCTTCCTTTTTGAAAGCACCGTTTTGCATAGTTAATAGTTACAGTTTTCTCCTATGCTAACCTGCCAGTCCAATGAGCTCTGCCGCAAGTCATAACCAGGTTTGCAAGATTAAGATGGACTCATTTGCATATAACAGGAAGTTAACTTTATCAGTGTTTAGTTTAAGAGGATGAAAAGATGTTGAGGCCAAATATTTGGGAAGATGAGCAAAGTATAAATTAAATAAGGTGGGTGCAAGTACATATCTTTGACTTGTTCCATGTGTGGAAGAAAGTACTACAAATAGATTACCACTGTTACTACAACACAGGCGACTACCCACTTACATGGGAGTTACAATCTGGGGGCCTTGCGTGCATAAAGGAAAAGTGCATAAGTGAGGAGAACCCTCTAAAAAGCCTATAAATGCTTGTTTTTGTTCTGCTGTGCCTCCAGTCTTTTCAGTGCTGAATAAATTTAGTTACTTTACATGTGCTTTGATTCCCCCCCCCTTTTTTTTCTTTTTGAAACTGAGCTTTTTCCTTGCTTTGGATTTTACCTTTGGTTTTGGGGGTTCTTTATGGATTATATCGCTTTGCCTCCTGTCTTCAGTTGGTTTTTTGTACCTTGGATGAAGGTGTAAATTCCATGACTTGGTTCCTTATGTGGCTTTACATTCCCCTCACCCCCACCCTCACTTTTGCCAGATTGTCAGAGTAGGGAACTAGGGTGATTTAAGAGGCACCAGAAGTACCTTTTTATTTTATACCTTTGCCTCCACATTGCCAGAAAGAGCAGGGAACAGTGTGTCCGAGCCCACTGCAATACAGCTTTGCACCCAACAGCTGTTGAATGGGGTTGTGTGGCAGCAGTGAGAGCTCCTGCACACCATTTTGGAGTCCACACATTCTTTTTTTAAAAAGCATTAAAAACCTTTATTTATGGAATTTGGTTCATTGACATCCCCTTTAGGCTCTGGGAAGGGTCTCCTCATGAGCCACCAGGACTTTCCAGCTCTCCCACCATTTCCAGGTTTGAATTGAATTATTTATTTATTTCCCAGTACTACACATATCTGTGGTCACACATGAGTTGATCACACATTAAGTGAGGGTATGTCTGTATAGTTAGGTTGATGTGCTTTGATATAAGCTTGGATCAAGAGCAAACATCTCTTAACCATAGTAGTCTAATTCAGTTTGCTCTATAATCTCTCACAGTAAATAAGACCAAAGGTTCCTTTTAAATCAGTGCAGGCTGTCTTCCTTTGGTTTTGTTTTATTACTCTGCCAAGTATAACAGTACTAGGCAGCGATCTTGTTTAGAGTGACCTGATGTAAACACCATTTACTTTCACCCAAAGTTATTATGGTCACTAATGCAGGCATTATGTTTTATTGCATGGAAAGCTGGCACAAACGTTTCCTGTAATAGATCTTAAACACACAGGGCAGTAATTATTAGGGTCCTCTTTGGGGTGTCTGGATTCATCTTGTAAACTTCAGACTATAGTTTTCAGATCACTATGAGAAATTATGTTGCACTAGATGGGCCATTGGCCTGATCCAACAGGCTCTTCTTATGCTGGCAGCGATACCTTTTCCAAAGAACAGTGCCTCAGGAGATCACAGATAGATGTGACTGATCACAGAACATCATGTGTTGCCAGATAACCTACCTTCTTTCCTGATGTACTGAATGGCTGTTAAACAGAATAAGGGGTAAATGTGTGTGTGGTTAATGAATAGAAATTACAGTGAAATTTTACCTACCTGTGCAGTGTGTGAAATGGCTGGCTTATTGAAAGCAGTTTTTCATCTAAGCCTTTAAACCATATCACTCTGCTCTGTTCAGCATCTGAATGTAGAAACAGCCTGCGAGGTAATAGTTTGGTTTTACTGAGACCTAGTTAATTGAAATATGACTCATTACCACCTGAGCTTTGACTTGGAATTGCAGGGGAGAAATTTAATGACAGAGATAGCTTTTGAGCTGTGGGTTCTGTTTTGCAGGCTTTAATGAGATACGTAATTGTTCCTAATCAGATATCTTTTCCACCAGTATTTTCTTTAGAGCTGTTTCATTTCCCCCCATAAAAAAGGCAATCACCCATTCCTTCCATCAAAGTAAAAATAAATAAATGATTATTTCTAAAGAATGATATTAAAAAGCCCAAGCCTATTCTTTCTCAGCGGTAATATTTAGACATTTGGCTTCCTCCTCCAAAAAACTGCCTTCACTCTGTCATGAAGAACAGCAAATTTATAAACTGAAAAATATATCAATAACCAGAGTTAATGAATTGAAGATGCCAATGTTTAAAAACATATCTGAATAATAGCTAGCTATTTGAGGTTTATTCCAGTATTGTAAAGAGAGAGACAGTGGGGCTGCTTTTCTGGGAAATGTTTCTGAGGTAATTTGCTTGGTTAAAGTAAGTCACAAAAATGTACTGGCTTAGATATATATGTAACACACAAGCAAATACCAATATGGATGCATACACCGAGGACCACGAAGTTGCTTTAGCAATTTCTTTGCTGACTCCCGCACCTGCATTCTGAATATCCCTTAAATCGGTGACTTCAAAACTTTCAACCTGTGCTTTAAGACTGAAAGATGCCACCAGACTCCTTAATAAAAATGTCTTGCCGCCTTTAAAAAAATGCTTTACTTGCCTAGTTAAAATATGCAGTTTTCAACATTTTTTTTGTTTATAGTAATTATACCCCACCCTTTAGCCAAAAAGGGTCTCAGAGCAGATTTCAAATAGCTTTCAAACCAGCATTCAAATAGCTATTGTTGAATTGTTTCTCCACTTTGAAACAGTATTCCATGCAAGTGTAGAAGAAAGCCACACTTTACACTTATTTGATGGAAGCCTAGCTATGTGAGTAAATCATGCTAGTTTTACATGCACTGAACCACCTATAGTAGTAGGTGGTCCTGTGAATTCATTGCTCTGCTCCTTCCTTTTCTAAGATTCCGCCACCTACCTTTCCATCTTGGCCTCTTGCTCCTGCCATTCCCTTTGGTTACTGTCATGCTATGATGAAGTTAACACCTCTCCTTTCCCCCTTCCCCAGGTCTGAGGGCAGCCTTTCTAAGTTCACACACCGGTTATCAATTAAACAGAAGCAGGAGAAGAGAAGGAAAGCTGAGTATGCCTCGGCTGAGCTGTCTGCCTTCCGTCCCAGGTCTCTGAGCATTGAATGGTAAGATGCAGTGTTGGGCTCAGGACAGAACAAAATCATACCCCATCCATTGCCACACTTTGACCTTTTTGCTGTCACACTTTTCCATGCCAGGGAGAAACCAGCACATTTAAAGCAAATTGAGTTAAAACTGTTGGCCCATATAAGAATCCATCTGAGGGCAAGTCACATTTAAAACAGCAGGCATCCTTGATGCATTTGCAACAGTGATCCTAGTGGAGATCAGAGATACACCTAGTGTGCAGAGATGCATTTCTCCAAATAGATATGTGTCTTGGCCAGTAGTGTCCCAGGGTGTTAGCAGGTGCATGTCTGCATTTCACATGTTCCAAAAAGGAAATAGTAAACTCTGCAAACTCACTCCAAGTCAAACCACAGGACCAAGATTAACAGGCCACACAGTCAGAAGCAAGCTAAACAAAGAGTTGATTCTCAGAACTGCTTTGTAGCAGAATGCTTAATTTTTCAGTCTGTTGCTTCACATTCACAGCATGTGGATCATCTGAATCATTCATCACAAGTACAGACTGCAGTTTGGCACATGGCTGCTCAGTTCAAACTAAAAAGGTTCATGATGGCATGCCAAATTGCAATTTGTACTTGTGATGAACTGTTCAGAGGATGCACTCACCATCTTAAGATTTAGTTCATGCTGTAAAATAAAACAGCTGGCCATTTTCAAAAACTTCTTCATACAATCAAGAGTCAGAGGATATTACTGCACAGTTCATATCACATGAAAACCCAGTCTATTACAAAAAAATAATAATCCTTAGATCCCTTAGCCACACCACCTACTAACAGCCCTACTGTGACACAGTCATTTATTTAGATGTAAAAGAGTGGTAAGCTAGAATCTGATAACCAACTCTCTCTCAACTCACATAACCTCATCTAAATTTTACAAAGATCAAAATGGAAATCAGTTTATGAATAGTTATCTCTGGATTGTGTGGATATTCCCAAGCTTAAAGCAAAGCTGGGCCTTGATCAAGTCCAGGATGAGGAAGAAATTCAGTGTTGGATGGCAAAACAAAGAGGCAATGTTCTTAAGCCAGCACACAATTTGGAATAAAGTAGAAAATGGACAGCAAGTTATCAAGGAGGGACTCAGGACCAAAACAAAGCAAGCTCAGCAAGGCCCAAATGAGGAAGAAAGTTGTTCAGGCAGGTGAGGGTGAATAACAAGTTTCTCTCTTGTGATATTTTAGACCAGTTCCCACACAGTTCCCACTGAAATGGTAACTACATCTTTATGTCTTCCCTCCCTTTCCATAGCATCTTCAAAAATCTTACCCATGTCCTTCCCTTCCCCAACCTTACTCCACTTCATGGCTGCTGTTTGCAAAAGACAGAGAAACATGGAATGCTATAATATCAAGTAGGGCTCGGCTGGACATTTTGGTCAACCAAAATTTGGCCCAAATTCTTAATGTTTGAAGGGAAGCTGCAGGGAAAAAACCACTCCCAATTTATTTATCTATTTATTTATTATTAAATGTGTACATCCTCATCATAAGATCACAGTGCAGTTCATAACATTAAAAGTACAAAATAAGAACACAAAATACATAATGGAACAAAAACAAACCAATACCTCCCTCCCATAAACACATATTTGATTTCAAAGTTCAGGCAGTGGCAGTGGAAGCTCCAGGAGGTGGAATATCAAGGGGGGAAGTGAAATGGAAGTGGTCTGAGGGCTCCTCCCTATTTAAAAAAAAAAGAAATTTATTTAAGAGCCACTTGGAATGGCTCTTATCTTTAAACAAAAATGCTTCTTAAGATGGGGAGGGAGAAGAAAACCTTTGATTACCTCATAACTGCTGAGCATCAAATGGCTTTCTCTCTATGGGTGTCACCTAATAGCTGGCTCCTTTTGTAAAGAAAGGTCCAAGGAGGTTAGGGGTTTGGTGCAGCTCTAAAATCAGGACATGCTTAAGTTCTATCAGTGGTTACAAACACAAAGTTAAATAGGTGTCCACTTTTCAGCAGCAGCCATGTGTATAACATCTAGCTTGGCCCTTTGTAATGCCCATAATAACAACTATAGTGTTAAAGATGTTGGATCTGAAGACTTCCTTAGTCCATAGGTGGCATAGGTGGCCTCTGGTTCTGTGAATGGGACAGAATTCTAGCCCTTACCCAAAGAATCCCCACTTCTTGCATGGCAAGGGAAATTTGATTTGTTCAAATGTACAATTTAGAATTTACTGTTGCTTAGTGTGATGGTGGTGGGTAGCAAGCCTCCTTGTTAGCATGTGAGGGAGTCTCTGGAGTTAAAAGGCTTTTGAGGTCTTGCTTCAGTCAGCAGAGTTATTCCTGCCTACCCTGTTAGTCCATGAATTGATCTCTAGCCTGTGCAGCAGGCACACTCCAGGGCTCATGGGGGAAGTAAGTGATGAGTGCTAACTATGAAGGATAGATGTAGTGCCACCAAAACTTTTAATGAAGACACATTCTACTTTCTGAGTGAACAAGCCCAAACATTCTACAGCGAAGGTTGACTATAAAGCAAGGGGCCTCCAAATATTGCCCATCATTCATACATCACTGGATGGGCTGAAGATCTGAAAGTATATAAGGCACTTTACTGGTAGGTTCCCCAGCTATATCCAGGCTCATTATTTCCCCACCCCTTGTGCTGCCATCCTGGAAGAGCATCATTATAACTGACAGCTCATCAGAAATTTGTCATATATACCTAATTAATATAACATTATTATTATTATTATTATTATTATTATTATTATTATTATTATTATTATGAGAAGAAGCAGTGAAGCCTTGTGGTTAGACTACTGAGCTAAAAAAAAAAGCCAGGGGTTGAAAGATTAAGAAACCATCACCACTGGGATGTCACTTTACAATATCTTTTAGTACATAACAAATGATATTATTGGTCTTCTCCTTCCTCTTGAGTACTCTTCTTCCCAACTGGAGCTCTGTCAATAGAACTGCCTGACAGCATCTTCAGACTTGTCTGATCTGCCAGTGTTTGGACAGGTACAGGTTTCTCCATATCTAGAGTGGGAGCAAAGTGCTGGAACCCCAATTCTCTTCCTCCTAAGAGGGCTCTCCAGGGTCTGGGTCAGCCATGATCCAGACAACTTTATATATAAGCCACTCCAAACTCTCTGGTGAAAGGTATGGAAACAGGAGCAAGTGCAGGTTCATCTGCTGAAGGATGTGCTCTGGTTCCTCCAAATCTTTGCTGTTCAGCTGACACATGCGTTTTGTAAAATGAATATTCATATACTCTGTTCATCAGCCCCCAACACCACTTAGTTCTTCCCCACTCATCAGAGTTCCTTGTACAGCCTCTTCCATTGTGAAGCAGAACTGTTTTGATCTGAGGGAGAAGATGGTACATGTTCCCAAATGTACTAGGTGTTCACAGCTAGGTCATCAATAAAATGTGTGTGTTTGTGGTGGTAAGTTAATAAAATAAATAAGGAGGTGGTTCCTGTTGTAAGTTGCCCCATCTTTTCTTTAATTTCAGCCTTGACGCTTAGCCATATTGAAATATGCACCCACATGCATATATGTAAGCAGTCCCACCTCAGTAGCTCTATAAAAGGGTCTATTCACAAATCACTTATTTTTAGTATGGTCGCCACTGGAGTCAAAGGGACTATATCAATGTAAGCAGTCTGTGACACACCTTTCAGTTAATTTTTTTCTATGGAGCCATTCACATAAACAATTTATTCATTAAATGTTGCCCTGCTCTCTTAGGTAGATTAAATGTGTGTCTCCTTACTCCCCATATGGAAATTAAGACATATAGACATGGAAGCTGTTGGTTTTGACAGACAAAAACAATACCCAAGGCCTAGTATTCAGTGATACCGAACATGTGTGATGCCAATAAAAGCTGAGAAATTTGGCATTTCTGAGGACCTCCAAGCTCAGCATCCCCCAAACAATACCAAATTTTGCAGAGACAAGTGAGCATTCAACAAATTTAGTTGTATCTCTTCAAAATGTAATTTCAACACTGCTCCCCATGTTATAATCTTGGTAACATCTACACATGTAGCAAAAAGGGGTGGTCGAATTATGAGGTCGTAGAGTGAACTATACCAGTGCAGTTGGGGAATGACATGGTTGCTCAGTGTTCCTCCACAAAATATTTCTAATGTGTAAGTAGAAAATTAGCACCACAGGGAGAGAGGTTGTAGCTTAACAATTTATTTTTTATCTAGAGTTCAGCTTGCAGGGATTTTTTTCATATACGAAAGCATTAAAAATGTGATCCAGTACCAGCAGCTTCAAGTATTGAAGTATATTTCTGCTACTCTTGTTAACATTATTTCCACTTCATTCTGTTACATGTGTAAACCAGACCAAAGGCACAGGCTCTTAGGAATCTTAAGTGTGGACAAATCATGGTGGGGTGTGTGAAAGTGAGCACATTTTGGAATGTGGGGATTCCTTGGTTTACCAAGATAAGATATTGTGATAAGGTATTACTACTCAAATAATTCTGGTGGCCCAAAAATAGTTATTCTGAATGCAGATTTCCCAACTGGCTATCAAGCTGTTTCCAACCTACCCTTTCTGGATATGATTATTGAGTTATAACGTACCCAGCTTCAGGCATGCTTAAATCCTGAACATTTTCTGGATCCATTAAACACTGCACTTTATCAGTGACTGTCACCTTGAGAATAATATTGGTAATAGCACCCTGCTGATGTGTTAGACCTTTTTGTGACTTTTGATGCCATTGATCATGAGGTATTAGTCACTTTACTGTGGGGCCTGGCAAGAATTTGTGGGACTACTCTAGTGTTAATCTACTTGTTTCTAGCAGGGTTGTGATAAGCAATTGCGTATTTTCCCTGTGGAATCCCACTACAGATATATGGATCATTCTGCGCCAATTTCACTTGTGTTGATTCATAAGCCTGTTCTGTCCCTCGTCTGCATTTACCTGGATTTAAAAAAAGAGGAGAAATTATATTCCAGTTAGCACATTAGTCAGTGAGGTGTTG